AGCTAATCTGCCTCTTATCTCTTTAGTCTTTCTGCCAGTTTGTGTTTTTAGTCGCATTTTCTCATTTTTTTTAATTTATTTTCCATTCTCTGTTCTTATATGAGGTCATAAACAAGTAGGGAAACTGACTGGCTGATTATGGAGGGGAAACATCTAAAGTAATTGTCCATGATGTGCTGTCACATACCTAAAGTGAACCAACATTAAAATGAAAAGATAATTTTGCCAGTCTTTCTCATTTATGGTAACTAGATGATATTTGCATCATTATAAGTAATCTTTTCAAGCAGAAGTGTGATTTTAAGTTTGCTGTGATCAAATCAAATAAATAATAACATATATATTATACATCAAATTTTCCATATCAATCTGTTGGCAATATTTTGATTTACCTGAGTTTTTGTCAGGTAACATGATCTATTTTGATTCTTCCTTGTATAATCTAAAAAAAAGAGTTCAGTATTTTACAAATTGCTCTCTCAGATGCTGTTTCATCTGTTATAAACTTTAATCCCTTCAGCAAGATGGCCTCTCAGCGTCTGAGCATACAATAAGTTTTGCCAGAGGTGATCTCAGTATTGTCTGCATTCTTTAAATTTTGTCAGTTAAGCTTTTTTCCTTTGGCAACATTCCTTTAGCCCACACAGAGCTGGCTCCTCTCTTTCATATTAAATTGCTTTTATAACTTTTGGACATTTTAGAAGAGGCTGAAATTATGAGGTCCTTTCATTAAATATATTGATTGTTATGCGTGGCATCTTACTTCACATGCATATGACCTAACTTGACTTGACTTGATCTCTCGTTAATTGCTTGCAGTCACATGACCATCTTTTTCTTTACAAAGCTATAGGTTGGGCCTGCAGTGTTGCTACTTCTCCCCAAACAAACTGCACATGTTGTGAACATCCTGATTGTGGTTTTTCCCAGTTACAGAGGAAAAACTTCCAGGAAATTCCAGGTGAACAAGGTGAGGTAAAGACGGGTTGATGTGACCCTCTGCCTGGAGGGTCATCAGTCTCCTTTATTGTATGCAGAAGATGAGAAATTTGCACAATGAGTCAGTTTCAAATGGCTGTGGTACTTTATAAAGCATGGTGTAAGACATGGTTCCTGCCTTGAAAAATGTGCGATCTCACTCTACAGCAGACAAGATGTAGGACAGAAACATGAGAGAGAAAGAAGAGGTCAAGTTTTGAATGAGCTAAATTCTATGTCTGTATCTACTTGCTTCTGCTGGCTGCACATAGGAGCTTTTGCTGCCCAGGACCTGAGCATGTGAAACATGTTCTTGGTGCTTTTGTCCAGCTCCACTCAGCAGCAGCTGTGCTGCCAAAGCATGAAGTGCTTTTTGGGAAGGCACCAGAATAAATCGCAGCAATCAGCTGAGGGCATGGGGTTGTCTACCCAGGCCTTGAGCCAGCTACGGGGCAGCAGCAGAAGCTTTAGTCCACTCAACAGAGGTGGAGTAAGGCTGACCCCCAGAAAGGAGGGGTCTGCTGCTGCAGCAGGGCTTTGAGCATGAATATGCTCGGGGTTTTGTTAGAAGAACTGGAGTTTTGCTGGAAAAGCCAAGTAGACCTAAAAGCATGGCTAGAACAGGACCACCCAATTGTTGGTTTACCTGGGGTCACTCATCTAGGACACAACAACTCAGAAGCTGAGGGGAAAAGAGGAAAATAAAAAACCCAAAAAACAAAACAAAACGAGGAGATAGTAAGCACAGAGCGGAGGGCTTACTCCCTGGTTCACTTCTGCTGCTCCGGTTCTGGTTCCATCCACACTGCAGTCCTGCTGCAAAATCTCCAGCTACCTCATCCCATCCCATTACCACCCATTTGCTCAACATTGTCTGAAGTAACAGCACTACTACTGCCTGTGGCCCAGACTGTTTCATAATCCATCACCATGGTCTTCTAGGACTGGGACCACACTGCACCAGCACAAACCAGTACAGCATCCCAGCAATACCTGCCCCATACCTGTTTCCCTCCCACCAATGTTTGTTTTCCATATCAGTCATAGGTTCTTGTTATGATCCAGGGCTGTAGGATTTAAGTGATTTCCAGCAAAAAGAAAAAAAAAGAGTTGGATTCCCAAAAGTAAAATGTTTAGAACCCCTGACCTCGAGGATTGGGAAGAAGGAATGGATGGGATTGCGTTTTCTCTCAACCTCTCACACATGCACACAGATACACACACGCATGCGTGTTTCATTTAATTCCTGGTTTCTGAATGCCCTGAAGTACTTCTGTTGCTGAAAAAGAACTCTTCCCTGCTTTTGTTATTTTTTCTCTCAGTCTTGTATTTTCACATTAGTTATATCCTCAGGCTTCTGTAGGAACTCATGATTTTCCTATATATCATAATAAATCATTCTATATGATCCATAATTGCCAATTACCTTTGTCACCCCTGTGGAAGGCACACGCTTTCTATAAACATATGCTTGCTGTCACAACTTAATACTGCTGGCAGTTAGTTGTCCTCTTTGTTTCTTTCATAGGATAGTATTGATCACAGCTGTATGCATTTCATGTAAATCATTTTTTGGAGTAACTGCAGCAAGGATAATTTTTTAATTCTGTTTTTTATTATTATTTTTCAGCCCCACCTCTAGCATTAATGGCAAGTAAATATTAAATTGTAAAATGAGCTGCAGAAGCAGCATAATAGACAGGACCTCAAACATGACCAGAAAGAGGTAATTAGCTATGTTAGTCTGAAGTCAGGTAGAAGTCAGTCATTTGCATCTTATAGATTAACTAAATCAGAGATGCATAAGCTTTTGTAAGCAGCAGCTTATATAGCATCTGATGAAATAAGTTGCTGCATACAAAAGCTTATGCATCTCTGAGCATGTATACATGGGCATTAATGTGCCGTAATTATGGTGAATTAATTTTAGTACCTGCAATAACAGGTACTAACTCAATGCGCTGTAATCAGCAGCATCATGCAGTAGCACCAGTGCGTGTCTTTTATGTGATGCTAATGTGCAGTAGACTAATTCTACTGTATATTAGCACATTAGCTTGGCTTTCTCCGTGATGCAATAATGTGCAATAGAATTAGTCTACTGTGCTTTTAGCGCTTTGTGTAGACACGCCGTCTGAGACTATAAGTGCAAATCTACCCTGCTTTCTGACCGGCCTTTAAGGCTTTACACCAGACTATTCATTCTTATCAGTGGTAATTTTAACACAGTTAGGTGTACACACTAAGATATACCCACAATAAAAACAAACACAAAATGACACACAGTGCAGGCCAACCTGACAGTACGGTCTGTTTGATGACAGAACTTAGGACCAGACTCTCAAAGATATTCAGACACTTGTATCCCACTGGAATCCATAGACACCAGAATACCTTTGACAGTTGAAGTTTTACTATCTCTGTTTTTATTTCTGCCATTTAGTGGCCCAACATGCACCAAAATGTACACACCTGTTTGGAATTTATGTAGCACTGTGTTGTTTTATTAATGGTATGATCTGAAAGTTTGTTTTCAGTACACTACAGGCAGTAAAATACAGTTAGATCCAAAATATAATGGGGTGTTGATCTTTAGCTTATAAGTATGATGTCACATTCTTATTTTTGTTTTCTCGCTCTCATCTCAGTCACATGACTTTAGTGTGTAATATTTGTGCTGAAAAGAATTGAAGCATTGGATTGCACAATTTAACTTTTTTGGGGGGAAAACTATCAGGAAAGCATTCTTTAGCAGTGGTCAGATTCAGACAACACTCACTCAATTTCTATTATTGTTTTTAGTCTGTCCTGTTGTGCACAATACACGTTTTGCAGATGAACTCAGTGGCAGCAGGTTAGGGTTTGTGAGCACACAGCTTTTTGCAATATCTGATTATAAAGTATATCATTCATATTAGATTCAAATGTACCCTTTCCCCATATAAACCTGGTATTGTCCCTAGGTATGGAACAATTACACCGATTGAAAAAGGGGCATGCAATTTACTGCCATTCAGTCGAATAAGCTTTAACTGTTACATTCAGCTGTTCTATCCTGCAGTAAGCAGAAGCTGAACTGGAGGCATTTATGACTGTCCCATTCCAGGGTAGGGCCAGATAGATGAAACTGTTAGAGTGGGTTTGTTGACATCCATTCACAAGCAGTGAGTCCGCTCCGGTTTAAAGGAGTGTGATTGTGATTACTCATCTGTTTAAACTCTTCATTTATTCTGGTAAATTGTTGATGTCAGAAGTGCTACCTCAGGAGACTGTGATTAAAGCAAACCTTGGGTATGTTAAAAAACAATTTTGTATTTTTTGAGCTCCCACATCTGCCCCGGGTGTGTGTTTTCTTCCTTTGATATATATTTTAAAGCAAGCATTACAAGTAGTTACATTTCAGTCAAAGATAAAGTGATCCTTATGCATAGTTTGTTTTAGTTGATTATGAATGTGAAGCATTTTGGATTTTTTAGATGAAATTTGCTATACAAATGTAAATCATTATTAATTGTCAGCATTATTTGGACCTTGCTGGGTTCAGCAATGATTCTGTATATGAATGAATAAGCTGTAACTAACATGTGGTGAATAATTCAGAGAATAATTTACATGATAGAAAAACCTTCTTTTATTGCTCAAAGAATATCTGGCTGCAGACTCTTATTTATTCATTATTCAGATTTATTGGTTTTTCTTGTTCTGTCGACTGATCATCAACAATTGCCAGTTCACTGCAGCTAGCTAGTAGAGACTTAACATTGGACATTCAGGTTGTGCTCAGTAGTTTCCAGTAGTCACATAAGTCACATGGTATTTTTTCTGTTTCCTGACTTACTGACCATAAAACTGATTAAGGCCCAATCCATCTTCCATTAAAATCAAGGGATAAATTCCCCTTGACTTTTCTGGGAGGTATAGTAGGCATGTAACGAGGAAGACTGTGGTTTAAAAAAAAGGCTATTTAAAAAGCTAAAAAAAGTATAAAAAAAGCTATGGCTCAGAGAGAAAAAAGACACGCAATGTCAGAAGATGTTAGAAAATATAAAGCTTTCCCTTTGTGGGTCACACTGTTCTTATTTGAGGCGTCATTGCTAAACAGGAATTAGTCTGTTCTAAAAGGTTGGTTAGCTGGGTGCAGTTTAAATATTTTTTTTCACAGATTCACATAAAGTGATGCCATTTTGAATACTAAAGGAATCAGTAGAAGTTCTCCCATTGACTTCAATGGGGCCAGGATTCTACCCTTTGATTAAATTAGATATTAAATAAGTAAGAGCACAGTTGGAAAGGGAAACACAGGGGAAGGAGGACAAAGAGAATAGCGATAGAAACAGCGACCTTTTCAAGCTAGACAGGAAGAGGAGATGGCAGAAGTCTAAGTGACAGGAAAAGAAAATCTAGGAGGAAATTAGCATAGAACACAGGGTTACACGGTATCTCCCATCTGTAGAATCTCCTGTTCTTCCTGCCTTGTCCAGATGTCCACATCCTTTTGCTACTACATAGAAATCAGGCTGTGTGAAATATACTTAGCTCTTCCAAGGCTCTCTGTTCTGTTTTATACCTACTGCTAAGGCAAATGCATCTACCAGACTAACATTGTGGTAGCATAAGAGCCACAGAATTCATCTCTTCATTTCTTAACTCTCTTTCTTATTCTTTGTACCGTGCTTGAATCTCTCTTCACAACAGCCACACTAGCATTGTCACCAGATGAGGTAAGTCCATAAACTTCTCTGAATATATGTAAATAGTTTTAGGGTCCAATTCTGCCTTGTGCTGAGCCACTGAACTCGCACAGAAATTAGGAACAACTGAAGGAACCCAGCTCTCTGAAATCAGTCCCTTTGTTTGCAATTTATTCTCCCCAAATATGAAAGTCCTAGCACTGCATTTTGCATTTGTTAGGTACCAGACAATCTGAATTCAGCTTTCTTTACCCAAGGATATTTGGACCAATGTAACCACATTGATGCATTTGTTTTATTAAACATGCCTAATATGGACACCAGTCAAAACACAGTTTGCATCAGTGTAACTTACCCCAATAAATAAGGCACAAACCCAATCATACACCCATGCAGTACATTTCTGGTGGACGGATTGAAACCCCACAGTATAGCTAGGAATTCAGTGAGGTAGGATATTAAGATCAGAAGGGATATTAGCTGTGGTTCAGTCTGTCCAATGATCCTTTTCAAAGGTTCTTTAAAAAAACCAGGTATCTGATTTCTCTTTAAATTAACCATGTAAATTCAATTTTGAAGTACAGGCTTACAAATCACAAGTTTTTAGGCCCCAAGCGCATGTTGTTTGTACAGTATTAATAACATGTTAATCGTGCAATAAATAGTAACAGTGCTACCACCAATTTATAATCTAAAGTGGAAAACCAGTCACAAAGATGTTCCCCAAAATATGTGGAACATCTTTGTGGCTTATTTGTCAGGCGCCATAAATTGAACATGTAGCAATGCTCCCATGCCAATGCTAACAATCAGAGACCAGGACAGACCTATTCCTAATGCTAAAAATGGGCTGTGAGAAGAGTGGGTTGCAAGGTTCCCTGGTGAGAGGGAGCCAAGGGGCTTTCCCTGCCAAAAACCAAACAACCCCCACAGCTGGCAGCCTTTCCCTGCAGCCCCTGTGGAAGCACAACTTAAACCCTCTCCTGGAGTTAGGTACCTACACAAGCCTTTTCTCACAAAGCAGAGGTGGAGGAGAAGGAGGTGATAGAGTCTTCCTTTTAGCCAGCAAGTCAGAGAATTCTCTAGGATGTGGGAAATCCAGGTTCAACTCCCTTCTCTGCCTGAGTCTATGTGAACACAGCTCCAGGCTCCTGGATCAATATCCTCACCACAGTCCTATAACGTATTGGGGGCTAGGGGAGAGAAAAGCTCTAAGCCCTACCTATTGGAGTTCCAGTTGGCATGAGAGAGGGGATGGTTAGGACACTTGTCTGGAAGCTGGGAGACCTGAGTTCTAGGTCCCAGTACACTGACCATCTAATATAAAATATTTTCTCTGGGCCAAGGAATGCTTAACTGTTACCATTCAAAGTTCAGTGGCTTCAACAGGAGGACTTGAGAGCCCCACTGCAAAATGCTCTACAACCTGGTGGTTAAAACATTTGCCTGAGACATAGATTTAAACCCTTTCAGGGGGAAGAGAGGATTGAATCTGAATGTCCTATACCCTGAGAAGTTCTCTAACCTGTGAGGTTAGAGGGGTCTCCACACTAGATGTGCTGTACAGAAGGATCCAGGAGATGTGTTCTGAAATGCCCTGCAGGCAGGTGAGGTAGGTAAAGGGACTCCTAAACGGGAATTCCAACAGAGGCTCAACAAGAGACCTACTTGTCAAGACTAGGGCAGTCCTAGACATGCACAGACATAGAATTTTAGGCACCTAACAAAATGCACAGACTTGAGGTACCTCCAGCTTTGAGTGGTGGCTTTGAGGTTGTGAATTCTGAACTCATCACCTACAGTTCCAGTTAGGCAGGAGGTAGGTACCTAAATCCTTTTGTGGCTCTAACCCTACAACAGAAGATACAAAGCAGTAGAAAATTAGGCTCAGTCTTGTCACTGTTTCTGATTAATAATGGTTTGTTTCTCATTACATTAGGATGAGAGATCAGAGCAGTGGCACAGTAAAGTTTGCAAATGTGATTGTCAAGGAAGTCCTGATGGCGAATGGTCCCGTGAAGGCAGTCTCTTAGAGTGTATCCCAGGTAAGAAATTAGTTTTCTCAGACTAACTTTAAATTATGATCCATTGTACTTCACCTGCTTTCTTTCTGTACCCTCAAACTGATTACTGATACCTATATTCACATGTTCTAACATCCTAAAGACTTGCACTTTAATGTAGGTCTCTATGGATTCTATAATAAACATGAAATTGCTTTACCATATACGGGGTCCTGCTTTTACCTTGGATGATCTTCTTAGCTCCAATATATTGTATTCTATTACTCAGAAATAAAGAGAGCATTAGATCTCAATTCATTGCATTGCTGATCGTATGCATTACTGTGATTTGAGTCATAGGGTTGGAGTCAGTGAGAGCGTGTGAACACAAGCTCTGTCATCTATGTAGTAAATCAAATATACTATGGAACAAAAGTCAAGTGGACACATTATTTGTAGAGCCTTATTACACTCATATCCGGGGTAATGTCCCCCTCTGAAAAATGTGTAGTATTTTTACTGTGTAGGGAAGTTACTATATGGAACATGTGGTACATCAGGTTCCCTTATCAATTTCAATCCAGGGTAGCCATTTACTCAAAGTAAACTGACCTTCCTGCCAGGCACTATAGTAGCACCTACTGTGGGCAGCTAACTTGGGAGAAGTGGTCCCGTGTCTACACCATACTATGGAGTAAAATCTGGGGTAAATGACTTCCTAGCAATTGTGTCATTTATTCTCAACCTAAGAGTATGAGCAGGTGTATAACAATCAGATAAGTCAGAAAAGAAGTTCATTCAAAAGGAAAGAACAAACAAAGGAACTAAGAAACAAAGGCCACGAAAGCCTTTAGATAGGTTACGTCTAAGCTGTTGATTAGACTAAGGATTTGCCACAATTTCAGCTGTTGGTAGCTGGCCAGAAGTATGGCTCATCAGAGAAAAATCTTCAATGTAGCTAGGGTCCACCAAAGTATAATACAGCTTGCACTGGAACAGTTAAACCTATTCTGAAGGCAGGGTGAGATCCTTACATGCAGAGAGTCATTAGGTCTATTTTTGAGGTGAAACCCTGTCCACATAGAAGTCAATGGCAAAATGCTCATTGACTTCAGAGAAGGTAGGATTTCCTGCAGGCAGGATTTCCAACCTACATCAGTGGATGACTACCAGTGGCTGGAATTGTAGCACATTGCCAGTGTAAACAAGGCCCTAAAACATCCCAAATGAAGAATCAGTATTATTCACATGCTGCTTTATTTAGCCAGTGTGGTAGTGACAAATGCTGAGAACTGGCGCCTTAGAATAGTTAAGAATGGAAACTGATGGACAGAAGAAGGGAAAAATCTGTTGCTGAGGAAGTTTTACTGATGATCTGGTGTTACTGAGAGAATGTGGCCTACAGCTAGGCCCTATGGCATAGTTCAGTTACTTCCTAAGAAGCCCCTCTCGTAGTCACAGGGTATGATGCAGAAGTGACTCACCTCATCTTTGTATAGAATAAAGGATGCTAGTCTGATGATAGCTATGTAGAGTTAAGGACAGAAGAGACCACTGGATCCAGGGCTGTTCAACTTCTGGGGGCTGCACACCAGGCAGGGCATAGATCAGGGGGACACGCTCTGCATGAGCAGGCAGGAAAGACCCCTAACACTTTGAGGCCTGCATGCAGCCCACAGACTGCTAGTTGGACAGCCCTGAAGTAATCAGACATGTCTATCACAGGTCAATACATTTCAACTAGTTACATAGGACTGAAAAACTCATACACATGCCCAGACTATGCACTTACCTGAACTAAATGTAAGCAATGCTCATTAAGCACTTGGCACTGGCAACACCATGGTGCCTACAGAACCAAAACTACAGTCCATCATTTTCACAGCTTCTAACAGAGTTTAGACTTCTAAGGGTTCAAATTTCAGGAGTGCTACCTCCCCTCATTCTCAAGTCTTCTAATAACAGCCACTTAATTCCTCATTCTCAAGTCTTCTAATAACAGCCACTTAATTCCAGTTAAAGAATACACTTATATTAAAAAGTAGACAGTGGGAGCAGAAAGATGCTATGTACTTTAGCAATTTATTCACTGAACCAATAGGTTGATAAGTAAAGCTTTTGTAAGGTAAACAATAAGTAAAAACTTGGAACTGGCACTATATTATGCAGCTAAGTGAGTTGTGCTCTTATCTAATATGTAAGAGAGTACACCTTGTCCCTGAGTTAAGCCCTATATCTTGTGTTTGATTAAATTGTAATTTCCAGCAAGACATCTAGGCCTAATTTAATGACATTGGGTCTTTTACTACCCATTTTTTTTCCCCCTGAAGGAGTTGTATTATAATCTAGTGACCTCGCAGTCTCCTTTCTGATAGGCTAAAAAAACTGAATGTAAAGTGCATCGACAACAGACAAGTTGTCATCTGGTAAACAAGGGCAAAGATTTAGAGAGTGTCAGCTGCTTCATGGTAACTGTCTGTGTGCTTACACTGACCCTATGGTAAAAGAAAAATAACCCAGTGTAGCCTACCTCTCTTTCATTTGAAGCAGGCTAGCATTCATTAACTGGAGGGTAAGAGTGTGCACACTAGCAGTTCCTGTGGACTAACTGATGCACTGTAAAGCACTGCCCTTCTTTATCTCATGGCAACTTGTTCATATTTCATTTTAATGCATTTTTCCACCCTGTAAGTTATCTTTGTGGCACTTCTTTGTACTATCTCTAATTTTTCAACAGCCTTTTTAAATGTGGACACCAGCAGTGGATGCAACATCCTTCAGTCAGTCTCACCAACTGTATATCCAGAAGGAAAATCACCTACCATCCCTTTCTAATGACTCCTCCTTTATACAGTCAGGGCTCACATTAACCCTTTTTGCCACAGCATTGTACATGTTCTGTTACTTGCTTACTTTAGACCCTAAGATGTACAGCATACAAGGCTATGGTCCCTGATTCTCGGGCCTGGATATATAACTTTGCAATTGACCTTTACTGAAACATTATTTATTAGAAAGAAACTAACTTTCTAAATAATTCAGACCACTCTGTATGATTACTTTATTCTCCACTAGCCTTTGTTATCAGCGGTAATCTGCCAATGTTATCAGTCCTTTTTTTTCATTTACTTCCAAATCATTGATGAAAATGTTGCATAGCATCAACATTGATTCCTGCAGAACTCAACTAAAAATATCCCCATTTCATGATGAGGATTCCCCATTAACAGCTACTTTTTGCTATCTGTCATTGAGTCAGTTCACAACCCATTTAACATGTGCTAATATTTGAATCTGAATGTCATAGGGTACTCAGACAAATGCCTTTTGCAAGATGAAATATATTACATTTCCACAATTACATTAATCAACCACACTTGTAATCTCATCAAAGAAGGAAATCAGTTTGTTTTTTTTTACTAGAGTAAGGGAGGATATAGGAGCCAAGAAGGAAAGTATAATGGGAATTAAGTACTGTAAAGAATACCCATTCTCTCTTATGGAAAAATAAGTAAATTTGTGTGTCTTAAGAGAGTAGCAAGAGAAAAGACTTCATGATTTTACCAAGAAGCCATACATTCTTGGATTAAATACTTTTGGCTAGAACACGCTGATTCATCAAAACCAAAGCTTTCTGTAGAAACTCACCAATTTCGGTGAGGCTTTCTTAAGGAAAGGCTTCTCAGATTCAGAATGGAATTCCTGTTCAGAAGCAGAATGAGGGAGACCAAAGAATAACCACGTTGTTAGGACACTCACCTAGAATGCAGTAGATGCTAGTTCAAGTCTCTTTCCTCGAGAACCTTTCAGTTGTAGGTGACTGTCCTATTTACTCTGCTCTCTCTCCTCTAAGAGGGACTGCTTTTGTACCTTTTGTACTGGGAACTAAGCATACATTGGAGCAGGGACCTGAATGTGGGTATTCATTCCTGGGGGGGTGCCCTAATCTTCAGGTTTTTAGATTATCTGGAGTGAACCTCCCCTGTTGAAGCCTGTTCCACTTCGTATAAATAAATATTTATTGGACCTGAAAGAGGGGGAGAGAGAGAGAGGCAAGCAGAGTCTGAAGACCAGTGATTTTTTGCGAGGCATGAGATGTGGGAAATCCAGGTTTAAATGAGCACTCCAATGAATATTCAGTACAATGTGGAACAGTTCTTGTAGCTGTGCCCTTCTTAAATGAAATGCTTAAAAATGTGCTTTCTTCCTCTTAAATCTCATCCAGATGATTGCATGCTGCATTTTATCTCGAAGTACATGTTATTGGATGATTTGTGTCTGCTGAAAATAAATTCAGGGCAGAAGTATTGCAATTCGGAGAGATGACCTATGGTTAGGACATGAGATTGGAAGCCAGAAGACAGGGATTCAAGTTTCATTTCTACCCGTTCCCTCCCATGTAATCTTATTCCTTCTGTGCTTCAGCCTCATTCTCAAAATGAATCAACTCACTTTTTGAGATTGGAGGCACCATAAAAAGCAAAATAGCTTTCCTGAGCCCAACTAGCTATGCCTCATACCTTGTGGAATTGTTCACATCTGCGGACAAGGAAGGCAAAGTAGGTGGAAATATTATCATAGAAGAACGGAAGAGTTTTATTTTAATTTTGCTTGGATATATTTAATTACAGCATGCACAGTACACTGGAGAATGCCAGCATTGCTACTGTTAGGGCTTGCAGGTAAGACAGCAGAAATATGCAGTGGTCACCATTAAAAGCAACTTTGTGAACTACCTAGTGTAGGAATTTTGTGTTGGTAATAGCTGCTCGTATAATGCCAAAATATAGGCAAAATGTAGAGATTATACTATTAACCACTGTACCATTTTGGCACTAAATAAGTTCAAACAGATGTAGAGCTATCAGCCTGCTATGGCAGGAGGCCCTTATGCCTTTGAAACACTGCATCTTACAAGTTTAACAGTGGTGGTGCTTGGCATCCCAATAACTAGATCAGGAGTTTCCTTCAGGTCAGCAATAACAGCATGAATAATTTAACTGGTTTTGGCTTGGCAGTAACCAGACATCTGTTTAGCAGTTCTTTGAGTATGACACAGTTCTCCAGAACAGAAGGTGACCTGCTAATTGTATTATGATTGTGAGACCTACAGATTACTGGTAAAATTGTTCGGTCTTCCTGTACATCATGTTCAAGATACACCAAAACAAGCAGTAAATGTGCAGAGCCACTTTAAATCCAATTTCAGTATGTTGTTTCTTATGCAAAGGGAACAACTGGTGTGGAAAAGCTGGTTTTATTATGAACTAATCATAAGAAGACAAACTGATACAAATCCACTACACTACAGTCTACCACTGTGTTACATTCAGCCATTTAGAAAGATGAAAACTAATCTCCGTTTTGTTTTGCATTTTAAAAAATGTCAAACAAAAGGCAAAGGTTTGGTAGGTGTTTATGGTCTGTATTTGTAATTGTCATCATCAGGGTTCTATAGGTAGATATTTCCATGCCTAGAGGAAGGAAGGACTGTAACTATTTGTTTTGGTGTGAAAATAAGTTAATGAGCTATTGACATAGCAAAATGTGTTAATGAGATATTGACCTGCAAGATATTGACCTAGAAAAATATGTTAATGAGATATTGACCCTAGAGCTGCCCTGTTTTAGTGACTAGCACAAGTACATTGAATAAAAGGATTACAAGGACTGTAGTTAAATTATGCTCTGAAAGGTCTGATAAATTTACATGCTGATAGAGTATTATGCTGCACTTTCAAATGTGATTCATAAATGAAGATTTCCTGTCCATAAACTGAACTCAGCTTCACACAGGAGAACAAATACATTGATTTTAGAAACTCAGGAAATAAACTATGCCAGACTGGTGACATTTTCATAGGTAACTCCCAAAGGTGAGCAATTAGCAAGTGAAATAGAAATGCCTAGTTTTGGGGGTGGAATATGAAAATGATGTGCATAATTTATAGACATTTGCTCAGGCAATTCTTATTTGAAGCTTGTTAGCATCTTCCGTCTGCTTCTCCAGTCACATAGCAATAAATGATCCTCTCTAAAAAGGAAAGAAAAATAAATGCTTATCTTAAAGAAAAGTAGTCATTTTACAAAGTCCAGAAGTTTGAAACCGTAAAAGGGAGAATCAGTTTTCCTTGGCAATGAATTGTGGCAGGTATTTAAAGTTTTAATGATAAACATACAGTTCTGCCCACATTTCTCTGGCAGCCAGTTGGAAGCTTATTGAACACGGTCACAGGAACAACATGCATATGTTACATTTAAATATTAACTTTTGGATATATGATGATACCTCTATAGCTGTTTAACCTAGGTAAAAGCAGGATGGAAATTGGCTCACTGTCCTGTGTACTGGGTGCCATTATATCAGTTGAGATCATATGACAGTTTTACAAATCAGCTAGAGATTCAAGAATGTCAGTTTTGATGAAAAGCTTGATAGAATCCTGACACTCCAGCAGGAGATCTGCTCCTGTAATTATTTACAAACACATGGCATGTATGCCTCAATTTGACAGAGCTTGCATATCCTTGGAATACTAAATACTGGGATCCAAATACCAACAAATGATTTGGCTCCCTCTTTTAGTCACTTCTGTCTAGATAAGGAACTTGTCCCTGTCTATCCTGGTTCCTGGCCACTGCTGCTTTCCTTCACTCGCAAGACTTTGCCCCTACTTGGCAAGAAGCAGAGGCATAACCAGCAACTTAGGTGCCCTGGGCAGAGGTGCAGTGGATGAAAGGTGGAAGGGCATTTGTATCTGAGAATCTTACCTGACCCCAGAGACTCAGAGACCCATGACGAAAGCTTCCTACACACTGGCAGCTGCGGCTGGCACCTCACAAATTCCCTGGGGGGGAGGGGGGCACCATTCCTGTGCCTCCTCTAAATAGGTGCCCAGAGTTGGGTTTTCTGTTCACCCAACCCTAATTGCACTACTGGTGGGTAGTCAAAGAGTGTTGCAGGTCTACCTAAGCAGTGAAGTACATAGCAGTGCACTTTAAGAGATGGGGAGGCATAGTGTGAGAAGAGGAGAGGACTTTTGGCTGATAAACTCTCTCTGGAACTCTCTTTGGAGATTTTTGCATAAGGATTTCTGTTTCTTGTATAGAGCTTTCACAGAACAGAAGCGATGCCACCCCACACACTGCTTCCCTCCTGCTGCTCTTCCTGATGTCCCCAGCATTCTCCCTGGGGAGAGAGAAGGTCTTGGTGTTAACTGGGGAGCAGAGAGGAATTGCATTGGGAAGGGAGGAAGGGTTGGTGTCTCTGGGAACAGCACTATATTAGGTATTCAGATCTGGTTTACATTGCATAATCAGATTTATATGATAACAAATCCAGGAAAACTGCCCAAATTGTGTCTGAATTGACTGCAGTGTGCCTGCTGCTTGTCACCTCCTCTTTTTTCATTGTTTACCTATGGTGGCAAGTCCTTCCTATCTTTAGAAATCCCAGGTTGCTGGGCTGCACCAAAGAAATAATATTTCTGTGAATAGATTCTAGATACTATTGATACAGACAGCAAGGAGGTTCTGTTGTTCCTTCTCAGTTCCCTATTTCTGCTGTGTTTGAGAGCAGCAGTAGTCCTCACCTTCTCTCCTATCCTCTCTCTCCCACATGTGTTCTTACCACTTCATTTCTAGGATGGGAACATGTGGCAGGGGTTAGTTTTCAGCAGCAGCCTCAAAAGTGGCACCAAGCCAGTGTAGACATGTCCTATATATTTTAAATGGGCTGATACAAAGGCCATGTAGTGTTCCCTGAACCTGATCATGTGAGCCCCTATTTAAGTTATAATTGCTCCTTGAGGGTCACGTGTCCCCTTACTCATGTTGGTGAATACTATTCTACAAATAGTCCCTTTCCCTAAATAAATAGGGCTGGAAGGGATTGATAGCATGCCAAGAAGATCATACCTCATTGCTAAAGCCTTTCCACTAATTAAGGAGTATTGCTCCCTGGTTCCTAAGGGAGTTTATCAGCCAAAAGGATGAATCCTTGAAAGTCAAGGAAAGAAAAGGAAAGGATTAAGTGTCAGACCTAGGTAGAAACTGGAGGATTTCCAAACATCTCACAAAGAAGGATAAAGAGTCTCCTGAAAACAAAACTCACCCGTACACATTAGCTCTTCTGAATTTGCCTAAGGGAAGTTCACAATATAACACCCAAGAATGTCTAAGAAGAAAGAAAGAAATCTGATCACACAAGTGAGTTCAAATAGATAAATGAATAACTGGAATAAACAAAAAAATAGAATAAATAAGGAGAATAAAACAAGTCAGATGAATTCTGATTTTCAATTTTCCAGTTACTGGGAGTCCACCGGAGCTGAGGAAAGGGAAGTTTATAGTCATACAAGTGTCAATACTGTCCACTGAGGTTTTGATCTGTTTGTAACAATGTCTGCTCCCTTCCTCGGAGAGGAGAGGTGAGAAAGTGAAAACACAGTTCTTATCCAGATATCAAAAAGTGAGCTAAGAAAATTACTAAATAGAAGCAGTGTGTCTTTCCTGTGATAAACTAATTGCTTTTCTTGCAGAGTGTCCCTATCACAGACCCCTTGGATTTGAGTCAGGAGCTGTTACTCCAGACCAGATAAGCTGCTCTAATCCAGAGCAGTACACCGGATGGTATTCTTCTTGGGTTGCCAACAAGGCCCGACTCAATGGCCAAGGCTTTGGGTAAGTCTGGGAATTGTTTCTCATGACACCCCTGAAGTTGGGGATATTGCTAAAACATTAGACAGAGCAAGATGAGGAGTTTTGGGAGGGTTCTTTTTTTCCCATTTCCCTTAGCCAGAAGGGTGCTATGGGATCGCCCCTCTGGGCATTCTAGGTGCACCCCTTGGAGGCACTATAAAATTGTCCCTTTTGGGCAATATGGAATCACCCCTCTGGGCATTCTGGGATTGCTGTGCCTCCCTAGGTGCTCTGGGACCTCCAAACCACCCCTCACAGGCCCCCAGACCACTGGGGCTGTTCTCAGCATACTTCTATACACATCTGCAAGTGGAAAGACAAGCAACACGTGGAGAAGAATGTTTGGGAAATTCTGCTGGTCTGGTAAAGTTAAAAAAATGTGATAAAAGCCCCATCCTCATTCCCATCTGCTGTTCAAATAAGAGGCAAAACTCTCAGGGCCAGTCTCTGGTATCATTAGGAGTTCTGCCATTGTCTGTCGGAACAAGATTCAAGATTTTCAAACAGGCTGACTGATTGGCTGTCCAGATTTTGATAGACATCAGTGGAGCCCGATCTTCAGAACGTGCTGAACACCCCTTTCATGAAGTCTTAGGCTGGGCATTCAGAAATGGAGGCATCCTAGATCACTAGTCAGTTTTGGCTTTGGTCCTTGGTTAAGTCAGTTGCTTTGCATTCCTTACTCCCCTCTCTGTGTCCACTGTAGTCACATCTGTAATGCTTTTTTGGGGGGTTTCATGGTTCCGACAGGTGTGCCTGGCTCTCCAAATTTCAAGACAATAGCCAGTGGCTGCAGATTGACTTGAAGGAGATCAAAGTTATTTCAGGGATACTCACACAAGGACGCTGTGATGCAGATGAATGGATGACAAAATACAGCGTGCAGTACAGGACTAATGAGAATCTGAATTGGGTTTACTACAAGGACCAGACCGGAAACAATCGGGTCAGTGAGAGTAGATTTTTGGTGCAGTTAATTTTCAGAGAAATTAAAATCTTTGCTCAAAAAAGGGTAACATTCTCAGCAGAACACCAGCATAAGATCTGTGCACCACTCCCTCAAACTGGGGCCTAAGGGACATGCCAGGCTTGTTCTGTTTCTTAGTATCAGGATGAATTTCACAGTATGAATTGTTCTCTTTAAAGAGATGCCAATTCTTGTGCAAAGTAGGCAGCTGTGTAGAAAGAAATGTAGGAAAGATTTTTGCCGTAGAGCTCTGCCCAGAGAAGACAGAAGGTTTGTCAGGCAGTTGTTTATACAGTACCATCACCCAAGAACTAGTTCAGTAGCTTTTAACAGAAACCCTGGGCATCATGAGGTGCATAATGAAGTCACGAATTTGGAAACTGCAGATCTGGAGATTCAGGGTCTGTTTCCCACCTTCATGTGAGGGAGTAACACTAAGGTAACTCTAAAATCTTAACCCAGACCTAAGACTGTTTTGAAGGTGCCGGGTGCCTGTTGAGATGTGCCTGTGGTGTAAGTAACCTACTAGACCCTTTGTAGGGGAGGACTGACATAGGAGAGCTCTATTCCACTATGCCCAGACATGCTTTTCCCTGCTGCCACGCCCTTCCAGCACCTTTGCCATCTTGGCATGAGCAGGTGGACTGTTCAAGATCTAAATATACATGGTGAGGGAGCTTTCTTCCAGGATAGAAATTCTCTGCTGGCCATTCACAGCCAATTTCTAGCTCTTTGGTACCGCTTTGGAGAATGCATTAATTAGATCTCCAGCTCCTACTACTTGCAGGTTAAAGAGAGCCTGGGAGTCTGCTGACCAAAGTTATCAGCACTACTCATTTTGCTACTTATCAGTTTCTACCTAGCAAAGTCTCACTGCAACTATGAAAATACTATGATGTAAACAGGGGGAAGGGAGCACTGAGGAAGCTGCAAGATAAACAGAGGAAACAGAGGCAGGCATCCTCAAGGAACCCTTTTAGAAACTCTGAATTCAATTTCATCAAAAGGGAAAATCACACAGTGGGCACATCTACACAAGCTGCTCAACTGTGCAGTAACAGTTTAATACGCAGTAAGCAAGTATGTTTACACGTGCACATGCTTACTGTGCAGAGAACCTCACTAACCAAGAGTATACGAGCTACCGGCAAATACAAATAGCAAATTTACTTTTGATTAGTAATGGCGCAGTAGTGCTTGTGGAGAAGCCTGACTGGGAGTAAATCTGCTCCTGGTCAGCTATCCACCAGGGGGCAGGAGATTGCTCCAGCCCCCTAGGAGCTGTATGTTGTTCGGGATGGGAACTATGTTCCCCTGCTCTGGTAGGAGGGAGCTCCAAGCTCCCCGCTCCAAGACGCAGTTGGGGAGGAGGTGGGCTGGGAGATCCTTATCTCCCAGTGCCAGTTCTGTGACCACAGGGCTGGCTGGCACTGGGAGATCCTTATAGGATTGCGGAGCTGGTGCTGGGAGATAAGTGTGTTCCAGCACCGGCCCCATGGTCACGGGCTGGTGATGGGAGCCTGTTCCCTGCTCAGCTCTGTGCTCACAGAACTGAGTGGGAAACAAACTCCCCAGCTGGCTGGGAACTGTCCTGGTCAAGGGCAGGTCCCAACCCCATGCCCTGATCAGAGGCACCAGGCTTGAAAAGAGCTGCAGGAGTTGGGTAGGGCCCAGCCCCCTGCCATGATCTGTTGGTGGGGCAACTAGCAGCAAGCTAGCTGCTAGCTGTTCTACTGTTGGATTGGGGTAGGAGTTTGGGACTTGCACCTCCCCTGTAGCTCTTCTCAAGACACCTGCCCCTGACTGGGGAGCCAGGGCCAAGAGCTCCCTGCTGCTGGGGCAGGGAAACATTTTCCCCACTTGGAGAGTAGGCAGCTCCTGGACCTAGAGCAGGGGCGGACAATTATTTTGGGTGGAGGGCCGCTTACTGAATTTTGGCAAGCCATTGAGGGCTGCATGACAGGCAGCCAGGGGCAGATAAATATAAATTTTCTAAATTTTTTAGGGTCCCCACAGGCCAGATAGAATGGTTTGGCAGGTTGCATCTGGCCCACGGGCTGCATTTTGCCCACCCTTAGAGTGTAATATCTCAGCCATGGCTAGGAGACAGCTGTCTCTTGGCCCGGTGCTCCCTGCCAGCTCCTGGGCTAGCACCCTGGTGGTGGCAGGGGCCCATTGCAGGTTCTCAGGAAGTAGGAGCAGCTTGCTGCCATTGGCAGCAAATCTACTCCGACTTCCCTGAATGTGTAGAGACCTGCCCGGGACCATTTACTAGCGAGTAATTTACTCGCGATTAAACTGGTCCCACATCAAAGGCACGTGTAGACACGCCCAATGATGATTTAAAACTTCCTGCTGGTAGGAGCATAATACCAGTATTCCCCAATTTAAATACAGGAAATGCTCCTCAACCTTGTAGCCTCTTTCACACTGGAGGAAACTTTTGAAGTATGACTAGTATTTTTTAGGAGTTCTTTGGCTGCTTTCTGCCCTTGAAATGGCCATATATCATTAGAAACACTTTGTAAGCATAGGATAAAGTCATGTCTTTTGATGAAACCTGGTGGATTAAAATGATTGGCATATCATGCATTATGTAGGAGCTAAAATATCAGCCTGGAAAAGGGTGACTTACATACTGTCTCAATCCCACATTTTTAAAGTAGATAATGTGTAAGTAGCTTTACCTCAATGAGTAATGCTACATACCACGCAGTGTGCAAATGGGACAGGGATGTTTCTAATGACACATTGTCATGGGCCATGCCCTGGCACATACATCCCACTAAGTATTTGTATTAGCTTGCAAACTGGTGAACATAAAGATAGCGTTTCACAGAATTTGTGTGAAGAGGAGATCAAGTTCTTTAACCAAATCTGCCATTTTGGTTTTGTGTAGGTTTTCTATGGGAACTCAGATAGATCGTCCACTGTCCAGAACTTCCTGCGCCCTCCCATTGTCTCACGCTACATTCGACTCATACCGCTGGGCTGGCATGTGCGTATCGCCATCCGGATGGAGCTGCTTGAGTGCATGAGTAAATGTGCATGATGCCAAACCACAAACCATGCAGGGTTTTCAAGGGTGGGCGAGGAGGTGAAGAGATTCCTTAGCAACATATAGAAAAGCATCCCACAAGATAGTGAGGATAGAAAGAATGGGCTAGATTCTGGCCCAAGATGCAGGTCTCCTGAATCTAATGGGTTTGTAGAAAGGCAGGAATATGGGCAGTATCTACCCTTAGTTAGTTTTATTGAAACTGATTTCAGGAGTGGAGCTGTGTGAAATTCTTAGTTAGTGCTGCTTGAAATTTTCCTAGGGAAAATATCATATTGTAGCCATAGTCATCCAGGAAATATATGAGAAGAAAGGATTTTTGTGAGTGATATCTGTTATTGGAACAACAGCATGGTTGGGATAGACTTAGACAAGCTATCAAGACTTAGACATACTTCTTACTATCCAGAGAAAGAATGCATGGCTTTCAAAAGCTTATATAAGTCCATCCCAATGATACAGTTGGTCAAAAAGAAATATCACCCACAAAAATCCTTGCCTCCTGAGTGGAGAAAACAGAATTTTGTGAGATTCATATAATCATAGGGAAGTAGGTCTGGAAGGGGCCTCCAGAGATCATCTAGTCTAGCCTCCTGCCTGAGGCAGGATCATCTATATCCAAACCACCCTATACAAATCCATAATCTCAAATCTTCACAAAACTACCATCACACCACTGTCCTGCCACAACACATCACATAAAACATGAACCTGCCACAGGAAAGCAGGAGAGCCATGACAGCCAACGTCCTGCTTCTACAATACCAATCTGCTCTTGCCAAGCAGAAAACATATTGAATTTGCTACCCCATTCTGGAGGCCAGGAAAAAATAGTTATATAAAACTTTAAATCTTCCCACTGATCCTGGTCTTCCTTGTGATGGTGATGTCCTCAGTCCCTTTTGTCATCTTTCACTGATGCTACCAGAACTTCCTCAGTGAACTGATATCCAGCAAAGATTTAGTTGGATTTTTAGCAACTCTCCACAGTCTTTCACACAGCTCTAGGTAAGAATCAGATATCTGATCAGCATAGACTTTAATTAGTCATTTAATCTCTAGTAAAATAAGCATAGTTAACATTAAAGTCTTTAACAGTTTTGTGCATGCTCAGTAATAATTTAGGGGAATGTTTAAGATTTAAATGTGATATTAAGCACTAGGTACCTGTATGTGGACACAACCTTCATATATATATATATTGCAACTAAAATATATCTAATATAAATATTTATGCTGTAAATTAAAGGGCTTTCTTGAATGATCTGGTTTTAAGAACATACAAAATATTAAAGCCAAAGCTTTAAAAGCAGCAGCTTTTTTAAAAAGGTAATAAATGAGCATAATAAGGACAAATGGCTACCTAGTTCTGTCATACTGTTGATTTGGTCTTTCTGAATTCTAGAGACAGAATCCCCCTCTTGATTCTCCATCTTAACTTTTGTTATATCAGACTTGCTACATTAGATCAGACTATAAGTCATTGAAGGACAAGTATGGTCATAGGTAAGAGAGGAGTGGGCCCCAAGAGAACGAATTCTTTCCAGACTCTGGCAGTTATCAGGTTACAGCCAGAAGCATGACACTTGAACCACAAACACACATGACATCAAATGTCAAAAGAAAATGAAGATTTTTATACCCAATTTCATCATTTCCATCCAGGAAGCCTAGAATAGTTTTATGTACATTAAATGAACATCACACTCTGCTTTAGAGGTAGAAAATGTTGTTAGGCCCATAAAATACAGATTTGTCCGAGTTTATATGTCAAATTAGTGGCTGAGCAACCTGATTTAGGCCTGCATGCTCCATGTGGTTGTGTGGGGCTTGCTCCACATACAGATAGCAGATCAAGCAGTTATATCATCATATCCACATCATCGCAGTTTCTGCTGCTAACCAGCCACACAGACTAGCAGTCTTGTGCTTTGCTTCCAGTATCCCCCTCTGCATGGTTATAAAATGAGATCTGTGATATGCACTCACCAAGCGGTTACATCTGACTTCCTTGTCTCTTGGCCCAATCACAATAGGCTACTGAACATTATGAAGAGATGTGTGTTTTACAATCAGTCAAGGGATATGGTGGGGGAGGGAGGAGGAAGTCAGGAGAGAGGGAAGAATGATTAGTCATGAAGAAAGCAGATATGAAGTATATTGACAACACTTAAAGTTAAGTTTTGTTAATGGCCATAAATTATGGCCAGGCCACGTAAGTCTCCTGCTCTAAACATACTTGCTTTCTTCACTCTTTTCCTTCTATCTGCCATCATATTTCTCATTTCCCTTGAGTTACTCAAAGTTGTCTATAATTCTTTTTGACGGGGACTTCATGTTATCAGCAAACATCACCAGTTCTCAATCATTTCCTCCTCCAAATCAGAAACACATGTTCAAAAACAACCCAACTAGTAACCTCTCTACATTTTTAGGAGCAGCCATACACTCCAACTGTGTTTTATTCATTTTAGTACAGATCCTGCACTCCCTCCTAGCAGGGATGTTGAAACCCATAATATTGTAATACTTGCCTTGCATCTGACTACCTGCAACTCCTATGTGAAGACAAGACTCTGATATTTCTCAGAGGGTTAGTCCATATAATCTACCAAAAAGGTCCTACTTTAACACTACAATTTGGTTTAATATAAAGATTAGCAAAAACCAAAACTAATGCTGAGCATCAATTCTGATACTTTATTTAAAGTATGAAGCACTCCAGAAACTCCTCATCAAAACCCATCTGATTGTTGTTATTATAGCTGTTAGTGGTGGTTTTGTTTAAAATCTCCCTAACATTTATCATTAGCCTCTATCGGGCCTGGATACACATGGTAAAGCTCTACTTTCTCACGTGTACATCTGGGTCCTGCCACACACCAGAAGAGAGGCCCCATATGTTTTTGTGTTTTCCACAAAGTATCTGTTTAATTGTTCTAGGAGCTAGTGTCAGAAATCGCCAGAGAGCAGGATTGTGCCCACAGACCTAGCAAATAAACAACACTACAGCTGTTCACTTAACCGTTATGATACAAATTTACAAAATTTATGCTCTGATGGTCTCACAGCAAAGTAAAGGGCTTTGCATACTTTCTACTTACTGAGGAATATCTAGTTATTAATCAAGTTACACACCCTTAGCAAGTGCTTGGAGTTATTTCATAATGTGAAATTAGTAGCCAGTTATTTGATCAATAAATTAATCACATGATGAGGTGGTGGGCAGATGAACAAACTATACCAAGTTAAAGACAGGAGGGGGGGATATTATGTCTGCCACCTGCTCGAAGGTAGCAGTTTTGTGCTACTTTATTCCACAATAGGTGAAAGTTAAACCATGGTGACTAAGCAGCTGCTTCACTCGGGGGGGGGGGGGGAAGAGGGCGGGGGTAGGGGGGGTGTAAGATGGCCCATTTGTAAATAAAGGCCAGGTACAGACATTCAAAAATCCTGAGACATAATCGATTTAAGTTATGTGGTTTTTCTTAAGCAGTGTAGTCTAGATTGGTAGTGAACAGAACGTGCACGTGCCCTTTGGTTGGGGGTAGGGGTGGGGAGAGAAGTACATTTTAGACCAGATTCCACCATTTTTAAACCAGTCTGTGTGTGCCAAACATCTGTTCTATTACGGATATAAACTGGTTTCCAATCACTTATACTGGTAAAAGTATAATGTCTGTACCTGGCCAAAGAACAGTACAAATAGTAGAGCAGGAGACTGTTTGGGTCCCAGATATGTTGCTGGCTAAATTCTTGACCTTTGGAAATTCACTTAACTCACCTGTAAAATGGGGATAATACTTTGTAGGGATGTTGAGAGACTTAATTAAGATATTGCAAAGCGCTTTGAGAATTTTACTTGTCACTCCATCTCAGCATGAACGCAGAACATTAGAGCAACAGCATGACTGAGAGCGTGATGGAAGCACAGTAAAATGAGCCAAAATACAGTTATACAAATCCAAAACTTTTCCCAATATAGTCTAGCTTTTATTAGCACATCAGTATTATTCTAATTCACTGGCACCAGTCTTTCCAAGCACAACTGAGATAGCAATACAGACTAGAGGAAACTCAATGAGGCAGTGCTGAGAAAACATTTACTGGATTTGGAAATTTGGCAGGTAAGCAGTGAGAACTTCTAAAACCAGTTAATTAATCATAATCATAATGGCTTTGAAACAGTAGCAGCGAGCACAGGACCTTTCACTGCTTTCAATGATGTGATCAATTTTTACCCTCAAAGGTTTGTAAAGTGACAAGCTAGATGATTGCACTAAGTGTTCCTGCAGGCCAACTCCAAATTAGATAATAAGAAGCTGCCCTGGTCCATCCAACCCAGCCACACCACTTACAGGAGCCAATGGCTGTTTTCTCCTAATGGAATTTTCCCCTCTGGCTGCTGGAGAGAGTATTCTCCACACCCACTTCACTCTGTTTCCTCGCTGCTGATAAATGATCTGAAACTAATATGCACATGCTAATATTCCCTTACCTGCCTGTTGGGAGGGATGGGAGCCTTTATTTTTCTGCTCTCTTCAAGGGATGGATGTGGGTATATGCAGGAGGAAGGGATGAAGAGGAGAGGGGTGACACCCTTTTTTTCCTCTCTCTCTCTCTGTGTATGTGGAAATGCCCCAGTCTTTCCCAGTCTGTTTGTAGACTTCTAGAGGGACATGCTCAGCTGAGGTGGAGAATTAAGGCAGCGAGCTCAATAAAAATAAATGAATACAAGCAGTTTGTTTCCAATAAAAGGTTGGCTTCTGGGCTCTAGGGGATATAGAAAGAGATCTGAACCCAAAGCATGTAGGGGTCACAGCAGCAAGATGGATAAAAGAAAATAACAGGAGGGAGAGGTGGTAAGAACAAAGAGTACTAAAAGAAATAAATATTTAAAATAGGTTTCTGTTTATGGGCAGTTATGTGGGTATTTTGGATGCTTGGCCTCTGGAATGGACAGAAATAGAAAGTTGCTAGGATTTGCCTGCTTAGAAAGTGAAAAAGGTGTAGTTAAATTAAGACCCTGGCCAGTTTGCTGGTATATTAGTAGTAGTATTCAGCATTGCCATATGGGGAAAGTTTGAGGAAAAATTGCTCTGGCCATTGGAATCTGACAGAATTGTAGAAGAAGCAGTTCCTCTTTTCTGAGGTCAGAGGGAAGGCAGGAGGCCTGGGAGAAGAGGTCTCCACTTTGCAATAAGTGCATTCATAATGAAAGCATGGATACAGGATAACTAATAATAATAATAGAAGGGATAAGTAGTAGTAAGTAATAATGGAGGGAGAGGTACGTTAGACACAGATAGGAACCAGGGTGGGTGGGGTTTATCTCCCTGAGCATCAACAGCATGTTCAGTGCTGGGATGATCTAAAAGAATATGCTGACCCAGCCAAACAAGTAGCGTACAACCTATTGTGCCTGACAAGGTGGTGGCTGAGCCAGCAATCTTAGACAGCTTGCAGCTTTGTGCAACAGTCAGGAGCAGCACCGTGAAGCATGCCTGTTCTTTCTCCCAACACCAATTCTTGAAAACAAGGCAATGTCATCACCTCGGAGTGTTGCCAAGAGTGTGCCCAGCATCCCTCAGGCCTCCTGGCTCAACTGTGTGCATAAGCACATGCTCAACCTTGATTTGAGGTAGTAAGTGATACTGTGTGTTTCTGGGATTTGGTGCATACAGAACAGGGCCCTGCTGACTTGAAAGCATCAAACTTCTCATAATCCCCCTGTTCTACTACTTGAAGCCTATTTGTCTCTTTCTTTATCTTTGCTGCCAATTGCACTCACTATCCAGAAGCTGTCCTATTTGTGGAAGCTGAAGTAAAAAAGCATTAAATACTGTGCATCATCCATAACTAGATTGCCTTCTGCATTCCATAAGAGACCTATGGTTTCTCTGGTCTTCCTCTTACTTTCAACATATCTGTATAATCCCTTTTTATTGCCTTTTGCTTCCACAGCTGCGCAGCAGGGCATGGGCACAGGGTGGGTGGGGGCCCTGGGCCGGCCCACTCTCCTCTGGCACCAGCCAGGGACCCAGCTTAATTAATTTGAAAACCTAGTGCGTGTAAACACAGATGCGACACTCCAAAATAAACAAGTCTAAATTTTCTAAACTTATTTAATGTAATGAGGATTAAAACCCGTGGTGTGTACAGGCACCCTTTGCGAGTAACATCAAGTCAAACAACCTCTGTTTTCTAGTGCAAAACCTGCATTTTATTAAAGACATATTTTGGAAGGCCCATTCAAAAATACATTGTGCTCAGTAAAAATTAACCATTTCCATGCTGATAATTAAGGTTACCACAGGATTTTTTTTCTCTTTTATATTTACAGCAACAATAGAAATTGTACAGAAGTTAAGAATGGAATACATGCCCGAAAAAAAGTTGATAAGGTGTACCAACAACATGATACAAAGAATAGTATATAAACACTTTACAAATGGTTTATTAACTTGTGTGAAGAATTCTGTAAATATTCAACACATTTTAAAATCAATGTATTCAAGGATTAAACAGGTTAACATCACATCACATCCCTTCCACAATAGAAAGCATGGTAGGTTTAAAATGTTGTGCATTTTAGAATTTCTAAGAGCAGCTAATGAAATTGGGTAATTTTTTACCAATAAATTTGGAAGTTTGGAAAACTACCTCCACAATCTGTTACTTTTGGTATAGCCAGCTCTGGCAAAAGGGAAAACACTATCAAGGTCTCCGAACCCAGATCTTTTCTCCTTCCCTTCTCCTTTTTAACCACATAATTCATTGTTTGACAGCGGAGAGCTAAGCAGTCTTGAATGATTTGCCTAATAGATTAAACAGAATTGAAAAAAAAACTTTCAATGGCTTATTCTATAGAATTACACTTTCAGGGAGGATTTTAGTTCATTATCTCTGTTCCACATTATCCAAATTTATAGGTCAGAAATTACTCCTTTGGATCAGACGTATCCTCCAATATGATGAAAACATCAGAATACCCTTACTAATGAACAATATGCACTATCAAAAAACAAGCAAAAGAAAAAAACTGCTGTGGGGGACATAGCAATCTGAATACAGCCTATTCTTTAGCTTTGTACTAAACAGCAATCAACTCTCTCTGCTACCCAACTTATATTCCAAAAGCTCATACCAAGGGCTTCATATACAACCAGAGAGTTGCAGAAATTTATATTTTCCATATTGTGGATATGCTTTAGCTTGGTCTAACCAGAAATTGCATGGAATCTGTTACTGTGACCTACCATTCCCAGGCCTGTACACTACATTGCTGAGGCTTTCCTCAAACTAGACAAGGAACAATTCCCTGTAAAAACTGCGCTGCTTCTAGAATAAAATTCAAACAAAAACGTCATAGAGAATGATTGTGGGGAAAGGGGAGGGGCAAAAGGAGGTAAGATCTCTCCCTTGGATGGAATGAAAAATTTAGAATGAAGAAAATCCTGAGCAAGTCTAAGGATAGCTGTCTCTGAGTAGAACAGCACACAGGGTGGAGTAATAGATAAGGCCTCTGTCTCCCTGATAATCAGCACTAGAGCATTAGCAAAGAACAAGGCAACTTCAATATTTGAAAACTATAAGGAAATAAATGGAGAATACAATGGGAAGACTGCAAAGCGGTGCAAAGGATGGCAAGATTCTGAGGGAAACTGAGCTGATTTAGAAGCACATCCAGATGAAGGCCTGTAGAAATTCTGACTAGGCTCTTAATAGCACCTAATTCTCCTGTCCTAAAAAAGTATAAGATGGAATCCTTTAGAGGTCTTCTCTTGGAAAAGTTGTAGAATGGGAAGTCAGTGATCAACTGAGGGCAAACAAAGTGAACCTTGACCACTTCATGAGAGATAGGAGGTAGATTGACTATTAGAGAGGGCAGGAGAGGTCCATAAACCATGTCCCTCATCTCTTAGCCTTTACACTATCAACCCTATGGTCAAGTCCAGTGGGCCAAGACACAAAGTCTTATTTATCTGGCTGTATATTTTGATTTACATTTTACAGAATGATTGGGAAGCAGCAACACAGTACATTGATTTAATGGAGGGAGAGCATCCAAACCAACACTGTACAGAGAGGGTTGATTTTAAAACAAATCTTGTGCATCCCACATTTTGTCATTGTTGCAAAGAGCCCCCTTGCTCCAACCAACTGAACAAACACAAGGATACCCTTACTAATGAACAACAGCCATTCAACAACAGATAAATGATAACTTACTCTATCAGTCTTGCCTCTGCTATTTCACACAGTACCCGTTTAAAGGAGGCCACTGGGGCAAAAGATTTCCTACCAAGAGATAGTCTTCCCAAACAAAAGTAGATATTCCCCTTTGATTAATTTTTTTAAATCAGCACTTTACTTACAATTCTTCCTGTCATTTTGGGTCCTAAATAAAGAGTGAAAACACCTGCAGTTCTCTCATAGCATCTGAATCAGAACTTTGCAGTTCATCGCCAGGCTGAAGTGCCTTTGGCAAGATGCGCCATTACTTTTTGGCACTAGAAAGAAAAAAAAAGGGAACTAGCTTCTCTTAGAAACACCCAGGCTATGTTGTATTAAAAGTGTTTATTCAAATTGCTTCCAAAATATAAGAAAGGCTTGAAAGAAGTTAAATGGCTTTTCTCCTTATTTACTACAAATCCCAGTTTATGAAGCAATCAACATTATGACACAAATAGGGACACACTGGAAGGGGAAAGGCACCTGTTCCAAGAATAGTAACCTGATTTGAAGGAGATTTATAAATGGTTAATGGGGTACTTTACCCTTAATGTCTCCTGTGCCTTAACGTTTTGCTGGGCCTATTTACATGAACTGTACAGCAGCAAAGCTGCAAAGTGTACGAAGTGGTCCCATTTTTGATGTATACTGTACATCAATTGACACAGAAGAAATTAGATTTTCACAATCCCCACAAACTTTGTGATGCATTGTTATGGCTTTTCAAAATATTCCTTCTGGGACCATCCAATTTGGATTCAAAATATTATTACAGCTCTACTCTAATAAGCACAGTTACAATATTTATATAATCAATGGGATGTACATAAGTTCAAAGTTTGCCTCAGTCACATGATCTTTTAAGAACCTGAACAACCGTAACTTGAATAGGAACCCAAAGCACTTTCTGGCTGGTAGTCACTCTTAAAAGCATGCCCATTCTGCCTTAGGTAAGGCCAGAGATGACAACAATATATCCACCATTAACATAACCACAGTAACCCTACAACAAGGAAGGTCTAAAACACTGCAAATTACTTAGGGTAAATGGCAAGTTTTTTATGGCTAAAACCAGCAGAAAATTAAAATAATGCTTATAAAGATTTCTGAGGAAAATAAAAATCTGATCTTTATTTTGTGACTTTCTAAACTACCTTGGATTGATCCTCCACAGACACCCAACTGGCACAAATTGTAGTGATGCTTCAAGCATCTTCAATAGCACTGATCCAGAACATCAACTTGTAACCTACCTTTGCTCCCAGAAACCTGTCTGACGGAGAGAAAGACAAGAAGTCTAAAATTATCTGAAGACAAATTGCAAGTATAGAAATGTGAGGCCCGCCTAAGCTTAGTTCTGGAAATGTAGTAGTTTGTAAACAGGCATTGCAGTGCAGTGACATTAGCACCCCTGGGTGCATATACACGTGCTCTGACATGTTCCAGTTAGATTAATCGAGGCTGCTGGCGCGTCCTAATGAGAATGCTACCACGTGCTGCAGCGTCACATATTCACTATCTTGCATTTCAAAACGGTGGCAGAGGCACTTTAACTAGAACTTGATGAATGAACTTTAGTTAAAGACCCCTGTTTTGAAGCGCAGGACGCTGAATACCTGTGATGCTGCGGCATTTGAATTACAGCGACCGTCCGGGAGCCTCTCTAATTAAAAGGCCCCTCCCCCACCCCAGAGCACGTGTATAGACACCCCATATGTTCAGATTGTACACCTAAGTCTAATTTGACATAAGAAATCAGAGTTTGAAGTTGGTCCTGAGCTCTGTTACTGGGAGGGTTTACCAAGGACGTAGGCAGACCTTACCGGAGCAGGGAGTGTTATCTTCTCAAGCAATGAGCTCTGCCTATTGCTCAGACAGAGACGGTGTGCTCCAAAGGAAAGAAAACCTGTGAGGGAGATGGTGGAGAAAAGCCTACAATGGTTCCACACTGCTGTGGAAAATCCCATTTGCCCAGAATGGCTCACTTTTTTTGTCTGAAATGAAAATAAAACATAACTCCTGTAATTCTTTCATCATCACCACGGTCAAGATTGGCAACAAGACTGGGCATCTAGTCAAGCAAATTTTAATGACAGTCTGCGAGGATATTTTATAGCCAGGTACAGAATATAATTTTAATTAAGATGCAATTAAAGAGCCTATATTTCCGTTTCCAAGAGCCAACTAAATCCTACAAACTCACAGGCAAACTGAGGCAGCCTGAGATGAACACACCACCTTAATTATCTTTTTGAAAATACATTTCTTTTATGTTCACATTAGTACACTATCATAAGGCAAAACAGACTGCTGAGGAAAAGAAAGCGTACTCTCTAAGTTATCTGTTTTATCCTTAGTCAATCTACAGAATATATATATAATACAACAAAATTAGACCAAGAGACCTCAGTAAGGAGAAAGGCTCACATTGAAAAATAGTTTCCTCTATGATACATTTCTCTTTTTTGGTGAGCTAGAGAAGTTCAAAAATCCTAGGAAGTTTCCTTTTTAAGTGTTAGTAAAATTACATGAGCAATACACTAAAGGCTGGGAATTCAGATCCAGTTGAAAATATGAGAACATTTATTCTGACATCAGCTGGCTAAATGAGAAGTTCATCATCCCTTCAAATAGACTGAAGAGAAATACATACAGTCAACTCAATTTACTGTTCAGTTTTATCAAGGTTTGTTGACGTTTCTAAAGAGGAAAATGCAGTGTAGGGTGGCAAGAGCTTCATGTTTTTGGACCATCAATTATTTTGTATGCCTCCTGGCTCAAACTTGAATCTGTAATAAGCATTTTAAACAGTTGAAGGTGCAATCAGTAATCACTCTTATTTCGCTCAGTGGATGCTGAGGGAAAATCTGCTGGAAGTTTTAATTCCTGCCGTGAATCAGAATGACCATAATGACCAATCATCCAAGCGTGAAGCTCCTACCAGCTAAGTAAGAAGTCTTCTAGAGACAAAACGCAAGTGCTGTATTATTCAATGAAAAAGGAAAGAACGTGAAGGACAAACTAGCCAAATCTGAACACTACCAGTCTTGCAGACATTCATACGGTACTGCTTAGAGCCCCATTCTCAAACTAATGCCAAAGTTTTTGTAGGGGAATTCTGGGATATCAGTCAGCTCATACTGGAGAGTAGAGCTAACCCAACTGTAGTGAACTGGTGGATACAGAAAGACCTCTCTTTGAAACGGTTACAATCAGTATATTATAAATCAAATAGCTACAATGATAATCAATTAAGAACAACCTCAGATGCTCTCTCAGATGTCCACTGTGCCCATCCAAACATAAAGCACCCTTTCACTGGTATATTTTACATAATGTGTAATGTTTCCCTATATTATATATCATATGAAAAAACACGTGGACATTTCTTACAGCAATAGAGGAACAAAGAATTCTTGTTTTACTGTCCGCTAGTCAGGATTACCAACTGCTTTTGTCCTATGAAAAGCTGAAATACCATACTTCTCACTGTACTCTATATTTTGCAAGTGTTGATGCCAATTGTATTGTAGTATGGTCTGAGAATGCTGGTATGATTGGGAGGTATGGAACTTAATGTCCTTCTGCACTGCTAATGAAGGAGGAGCTAGCTGGCTACATTTGCATCTATTTCTGTGGTTGGAATATCAAATTCATGTTTAGACTAGTCTCTTTTTGGAAAGGACAGAATACTTGTAAGCACAATTATTACAATGACAACTCACAAAAACTGAACTACACTTCAGAGTAATGTAAGAGGTGAAGTGCTGAGTTCAAATATAGGTATTGTTCTGACACTACAGGCAAGATTCTCCTTTCACTTGAGCCAAATTTACACTAGTTCAACTTTGACTACTTGGGAATTACTGCTGATTTACCCCAGTGTAAGAGAGGGGAACCAGACCCTGCATTTGTTATGCATAAAATCCTTCGTTTTAAAGGCAGCTCTTTGAATTGCCATGAACCTCAAATCTAATATTTTGTAGAAATGGAAACCAACTGTGAACAGGAATGTTCTGGTAGTGAGAATCCAAAGAGAAATTAAGCTGTCTGGCAACCTTCCTTCTTCTCCATCTGAATATCATTGTTTTACTAGCTTTAAGTATATCCTGAAACCAAAAAAAAGTGCAAGTGTATTTTAAATTTAAGTACAATATTTATCTTTCTAGTTAAACACAGTTTTAAACAAAATGTAAAATATATGTATGCAAAAAAGCTTATACCATGATCTGCAGTGCCATGCTATGTGTACATGTCACAATTTTGGCATTTCACTTGCAACTCATGCTATATTTCTTTGGTCTTCACCCCTACAATTATGTGGATGAGCATCTGCTTTAGCTTGTGGTCAAGGGGCACCTTCTCAGATGTGTTATTAGAACTTTATGGTTTTGATGCAGATGCATAATTCCCGTCACACTAATGGGAAAGCAAAGTACACACCTAGGGGAGAATATACCGCATTTAGATTACTGTATAGTTCTGTAGTCTCTTACATCTAGCCATTACGTCCAACAAGTAGCCTATAATAAAATTTGGAACTGAGTGTTCTATTTTGTTTGCTACCGACAATAATGCCTATAATACTGCGCTCTAATAGCGGAGCAAGAGTCATACTGTTACAGTCACACATATCCACATTCAACTTCCTTTTATTAGAAGTATAATACTGCACTTTATATCACAAATGTATAAAAATATGGCAGATAGTGTCATAACAATACTTTTCTTTTAAATGAGTATATTTAAAAAACAGACAGTTATTTACCATTTATATATATTTATGTATAGAATAAAATACTCCTGATGCAATATATAAATGTTACTGTTAGTTCTTTTGTTTTTTTTAATAGAAACTACTGTAGCTGTTGCACTGCTTCACAATGTTTCAAACAGCTCAAAATAACTTTACATTGGAACATAAAAGATATGATTATAACAGTACGATATTGGTTCATCATAAATAAATATTACAAATTCTATCAAATATGGAAGTTTAAAAAACAAATTTAAGACATACAATTCAACTTTAAACCCTTAACAGGGATACACTTATATCACATAAACCCCACTGTTTTAACTAGGCAGCAAAATATGTAGTAAGGGCATAGGTCTAGACACTATTTTTTTTCACCCTTTAAGTGCCAATGCATACCTAAACTTCTCCAGCTTTGAGACAGAGATGTGCACTAAGCTGGAATGTAAATGAGAGAAAATGGCAATACATTTCTTCTCCCTGAATTGCACACTCTGTCTATCATCGAATGAGATTTCTGATGATTGATAATTAATAATTCAACTTGTTTTACTGTATGATCCCTGACTAGCAATGTGGTGCCAAACAGGCTAGCTCCACATGTACATATTGCACACCTTTATAAAGCTGAAAATGCAGTCTTACCATCACCAGCACCACCACGACACCCCTACTCAAGTTTCCACGTGGATTGGCATATTTTCTGGAGTACTATTACAAGGCCGTCTCTTTTAAATCATTCAGATTTGGCATTCGTGATCGGCTTGTTCGGTTATACGTGTGTCCATTCTGTCCACTCTTCGAAGGCAGCTGATCGGTATAAGGTGTTCCCTCATTAGTGCTCCTGTTCACAGGGGAGACATGCCATGTTGGTTCCATTTGACCTGGTATCTGGAGTGTCGGTCTGCATTTTGACTGGGACTCCTGCCGGACGTTGCTGCTGCTGGAAGTCTGACTCATGGGATGAATTCGCACTTCAGAAAAAGTAGCTTTGGCTGGCTGACTAGGCAAGGGCTGGAAGCGGGGCTCCGGAGGAACAGGATGATTTGAAGAGGAAGAGAGATGTAATAGCTTTCGAAGGGATTTTAAAGGTTGGCTCTGAAAGATGGAGGAAACCACTTGGTTGGTCTTATGCCTTATTGTTATACCAGCAGTCTACTGCAAAACTTTCAGTCATATCTTAAAAAGAACAATTTGAACTTTGAAAAACATCAGGATTTGTCACTTTTACTACTTGTTAATCCTGAATATTTCATTTCAATCCACTGACCAGTTTGTGCACAGTGCATGTGACAGATAGAAAAGGCCTGGCAATTATAATTACTGTGTATTATGCGGTCTAAGAAGATTAATTGACTACAAGAGAAAATGGTTTGGCTTCCCTTTTTTTTTTTTAAACACGACAGTTGCAACAGAAATTTTCTATCTTTTTTTCAGATCTCTAAGATTTTTGTTTAAAAGCACTGTTAATACAAAAACATTACTGTCGCAGACCACACCATTTCAGGGGAAGCTCTACGTTGGGACTCCCCAAAAAGTCGTGTCTGGTCTCTCTCTCCTGGAAGGACTCCTCAACCCACATAACCCTTTTCATCACAGTTATGAAGACTACTGCAGATGTTTCCTTCATCTTGGATTAAGTTGCTTTTGTTACCAGTCCTACTGGCACTTTCCTGAATCAGTGGCTGTCCTGAATTGGAAGGTATATGTGTGAGAAGAGCTGGGGAGAGGAAGAGCTGTGGTATTTTGCCAGATGGTAATTATACTGCGTGGATTGTGGTTACACTGTTTTTCTGCCTCTCACATGTCCCTTGCCTCCCAAAGAATTATACAGGACTGTAGCTACAAGATCCCTCTTTAAATTCAATGAGAAATGAGGAGGGGGTCATTCAAAAGCAATTCTATTCACTACAGGAAGAAACTGTTAAGGCACACCACTGATAACAGGGTGAAGGTAGTTGATATTATTCCTTACATGAGTTTGGATTTCTGCCATCTTCTCAGGATGCCAATCCTTCTGCCGGCTGACCTGGTGATTAGAAGAGTGAATGGCTTTTTGTAATGCCAAAAGATCCTGACCATCACTGCTAGGCATCTGCAACATAATAATAAATGAGGATTTCAATCAGTTCTTAAGAGAAGTAACAACCATTTTCCCCCAGTTAATTATATAATGCAGGAGAAGCCCACTAGTGCAGCTGTATTGCAATGCCTTTTTTTTCCCCGCAGTAAGAACAGTATTTGTGGATATCATGCAGATTTACTCTAACCTCAACCCTTAAAGCATACACATGCTGTTAGTGAGTTGCTGTAAGAGAGAGCAGTTGAATAAGCCTATGAAAAGAATTGCTGCGCCTTATCCTCATTTCAATAGCATTCCATACTGCAATTAAGATCATGGGCCACTTCTATAAAGACAGAATTTGCCCTGGATGAATAAAGATCAAAACTGTGTTTAAATAGATACCCGAGTGATTTTGGTGCTACAGCTGTGGGGAAACCAACTGTCCCTGTTGTCACAAAATTCAAGTTCAACATACTGTTCTCTGTATATTGTTCCGTGTATATGTACGTTTACATACACAGACCTATTCTTAAATGTATTCATTTAAGTAGCTGTTCATTTAAAGCTATTTATTTATGTCCTAAAATAAAGGGAATTAACCCCTCATTCCCCCACTTTTTTGTGAGGAGATAATTAAAACAAAATTCAGAAATAATCTGCAGTAATTTAAAATAGAGTAATACTAAAATTTAGGACAAAGAAAAACACAGAATAATGTAAAATAAATGCTGACTTGTTAGCAAGCTAGCTGGTACAATATTTGATTGATTATATTTGAATACAAATCCGTAAAAAAAAAATTCAAAATATTTAAAAACCAAATTACATTAATCTGCTGTACAAACAGAATGAGGAGGTCACTCTAATTTTAAGCACCACTTATTTTAGAAGGTCTCTCCTTTGATTTTAGTTCCAGGCTTTCACTGTCTTGTAATAACTAGATATACTGTTTTAAGTGCATCTCATACTAGTCAATCACGATTTTTTTTAGCTTTAATCCATTTAGGACTGCTGTTTTAAGTTGAATTTATGGAACTGGCCCAAGATACTTAACTGGCATGAAAAGAAAGTGACCCAATGAAAATAAAATACATGCTGTTGTAGTCAGTAAAACAAGTTTACTGGAGCGTTTTTCAATGCTACTGTACTTAAAAATTGGTACCATGGGTAGAGTGACTACAGGAAGCTTTTTCAAAGAAGAACTATGCTTTAAATGATTCTTTGAATTAAAAAGAGGAAAGAGGGATTTCTTGATGCTTGGATTCTCGCCGTTGGTGGATTCTGTCTGCAATATAAGATACAAAAACTAAATGCATAAATAGTGTTTCAGTTCAAGAGATCTGTCCTTGGCAAATTCATGCATAAATGTACTTCTAAATATCAACAGTAAGTAGTGGCAATTCCACTGCTTGCTTCAGGGCAAAATCAAGTTGACTGCTAATCTGAATGAGTAAATGGAGATGGAAGAAATTCTATGTATTACTGAACATCTGTGTGTGTACAGAATGTAAAAACATTAACAAATGTGTTTATTGATCTTCCGAATGATCCTCCATTAGGCCTGGAGGGCATTGCACTGATTTCAGTGGACCTTGGGATCAGTCCCATAACTGTGGCAGTGATTTGCACTAGCTGCATTTGTATAATCTGTTAAATTGCATGCATTTTTATTTTCTAAAAATACCATTCCTAAAATCAACATGTTTTAAGCAAGTAGTTTATCATTATCTAAAAAAAGTATCTTAGTATTTCTGACTTTACTTGAAAAAAATGGGCTTCAAGATTAATTTGGCTTAGCTTTCGGGTGTGGAGGAAACACTTAAACTGTGTTTACAGTTGCATGTGATTTTCCATGCTACTACAATCAGTGGTCGTAGCAATGGGTACCCATTAAAAACAATGAGCAATTAATTGTCCAAATCACAAACTGAAATGCCTCTCTCAGTGGAAATGTGTAAAATGTGAAGTATTATTCTGCTTGCCAAAAGAAAACTAGACAATGTTGTATTTTGGAATGTGTAATATGAATTAACAGAAGAAAAGAAATACTGGTCAAATGGACAGTTTTTATATAGCTATCTCAAATTGTAGCCTTCAGCTAGAATCTCTGGGTACAGACACATATAACATTTGAAACATTTCAAAAAACTAGTGTACAAATGTACAGGTGGGATAAAACGCTCCCAAGAGTGACAAAAACATACCTAGAGGGACCATATACTATTTTGAATTGTTCTGTTCCATCTTCCCCCAGGCATCCCAATATACATTGCTCTCCTAATTCCCATGGTTTCCCCACAACCTGGCTGCTGCTGCCTTTCCCAACCATGCTCACAAGCTCCCATCGCCAAGCACATTCTTTACGCCCCAGTACTGGGGGACTTTATACCCCTACTCCAGGACCCAGGTTTCCTGCTCTCCAGCCTCCAATAGCAGAATACCCTTCCATGTCTGGACTTCTGGTTCTGACCGAATGCAAGGAAGGGGCCTCCGGCCTCCCAGTTTTAACAGGGAGTGCTCTAGAAGAGCAGGGGTGGAAGGGACAGGCTCACTGACTTCAGCTCCAGCCCCTCTGGGAGACTGCGCCACTACATGCGGTAGAAAGATTTTGCCAGTCAACCAGTATGACAGGGGGCTGTATGTCCATCTGCTGCTGAAACAATTTTTAACATTTGATTAAATGTTTCAAAGACCATTATATTTTGAAACGTTTAAAAGGTTCTGTCTTTATCCTTAGAAAGTTAAAGAAAGACTGATTCACTAATTTTCTTGTTTCTTTGAACTTGTTTGGTCAGATTTTATGTTCTTATTTGTGGATCATTAAACTTTAAAGGAAACAAAATGGTCATCAGGAATGGTGCCCACCTGTAACCAGAGTTCTCAAAGTACACTGTTTCTTTAGATCCACAGTCTTGGAATATGTACCATAATGCTGGGAAACCTGGGATCATCTGAAACGTAGTGACTACTGAGACTGCACAAAAACCCTCACATGGATCAAAATGGTTGGTGCTAGATCATATAAGGAATCATGACTCCAATCATCCTCAGTTCCTTTCTGCTACAGCAAGTAAGAACTCCAAACAGTGGAAAAGAAGAATGGGTAACCATGGCTTGGGAGAGGAGAGAGAATACATCTAAGAAATCTCCAGGAACAGGCAGAAGGCTTCATTACTCCATCAGGAATTGCATCTCGAGAACACAACTACGCAAGAATGTTCATCTTTTGTACGAGGAAAGCTTAGGACAACCACAGATTGCTAGAAGATGTGAAACTGGGATTTTCTAGAAGGTGTTCTCAACCAGATTTGAGACATCCTTTGCTATCACTATTTATGGGAGATCTTAGGGAAAACTGAGTATTACCAAAGTGCATTACAAGATCAATAGTAACCAGCAGGTCAGGTATCGTCAGTCCTGATGAAGATGGTGATTTCCTAATGGCATACGTAATAGCTGATTTTGGTCTTTCCAAGGCCTGGTCTGTAATTAGGTGTAGATGAGCCTGGCTCAAAGGAAATAAGTGTAATGACATTTCATGAGACCTGGGAGCTTCAGAAAATACTGGATTTGCCTTGATGACTAATCATTAGAAGCAACATTTATTTGACTGTCTATAAAGTAATTTTGTGCAGTAGTTACCACTATGGCATTAACATTTCTATTATAGACACTTATCTCTGAGTGGACATGAAAGTAGACTTCTCGTTTATTCCAAACCCTAGATTCCTGAACAGGAAGCAGAGGTTCTTTGTAGAACTGGGCCTTGAAGAGCTAGTTATCCAAATACAGTAAACAGGAACATCTGATGGTTTTAGGTGGGCTCCCTCAACTGAGATATTTAAGGAACAGTATCTGAACCAAAAAAGGAGCACTTAATACCGAGTATTGTTCTCCTAAAACAATTCCTAAGCAAAATCCTATTAGAGATATAAAAGAATGAACTGTAAGAGATCCTGACGAAACAAGGAAGATGTTCCATTGTGTTAAACAGGAGCCTACAGTGATTTCACTGTCTCTTGGAGCAAAAAGTCACAATAGCTTTGGCACAAAGGTACAAGGGACCTAACAGAGCCAAAAGTGAATGCTGACACTGGAATTAGATAGCCTGGTGCTTACCTCTGTTGGATCCAAAGACCCCACTGGTATCAACAGGTTCCTAGCTGTTCCTGTTCCTGTTCTGGTTCTTAAGACACTGACTCCCTCTGCTTAACCCAACCACATCTGTGCCACTTAAGGGTGGAGAAGAGTGGAAGTGATGACTGTTTTTTAGAGAGGTATCTTTTGGACCCATGTGCTTTAACCTTTTTGGTAGTGTTAGATCAATGCACTAGTGGCTTATTTTTTGCTTTGAATGCTTTAGTTTTGAAGTGCAATATGATTCAGAGGCTAGGTCAACCATGTCTCGATGGTTTGAACCACTGCAAGTTCAACTTCATTTTGGCAAATACCCTTTCCTTAGAGATCAGTATACTGGTATACTCAACCATATTGGACATGTGGGGCATTTTTACATGTACTGTGGGATGCGGTGCCGGGCGCTTTAATTAGCAAGCCACACTAATTAAAAGCGCCCATGCATCACATGTATAAGCATCCTTGCACTGAAAAAATGGCAGCAGGGTGCTTTGAAATAAAGCTGATTGAACGTGTTTTATTTCAAAGCACCCTGCCACCATTTTTTCAGCACAGAGATGTACTGGGACACTGATACATATGGTGTAGAAGGCTGCTGGAGCATGTCAGTTTCTGTGCTCCAGCAGATATGATTAATCAAGTCTGTTCTGACATGCTGGATTTCCAGTGCATCAGAGAAGGCTCCACCCATGGGTATATTAGCCCATGGATACGGCCAAAATGGTTGGTATATGAAAAATGTTATAGATATATATAGATATCGTCAGTGGTATACATTCAGTCTTCAGAAATATAGTGATCTGATTTATAACATTTAAGTGTTTTTACAGAGCTTGTCTTGGCGAGTGAGGTGGGAATGTACATTCCTAGTCCATGTAATTCTGAAGAAAAGCTTAGCAAATTTGAAGGTAATCTTGATTTCCTTAAGCCTGCAGGCAGAGATTTGCCAAATAACATCAGAATTAATTTAACAAATGTATAGTCTTTTTCTCTGATGCTATGCAAAATAATGAAACCGTATTATATCCCTTTAGCATAGGCATGTAACAATTCCTAGCTAGACAGACAGACAACCTGTATAAAAGTGTGCCGTTCCATGCTCTTGCTTGGGAAAGTTACAAGCATTAAAAGAAGGTGTTCACAGTGGGAGGGCCCCAAAAACAGAAGTTGAGAGTCTGGTATCACAGTAGGGATCTCTTTCCATTACTAATTCACAGCTGCTGAAAGGTTCCGGACTGGAAAGAAAACAGACTGCTCCTACTTTCTTCAGCAGCTGAAGAGAACTATATACATTTATAAGACATCTATAAGCCAAAAGCTGATATTAAAAAAAATAAAATAAAAGATGTATGAAGAACTATCAAGGAACCCCCCCAGACCTCCCCCGCCCCCACTTCTTTCCTGGCACGAAGGTGCATAAAACAGGATGGAGGGTCTCAGCACAGCACTGCTCTGGACCCTGTTGAGAAGAGAGCTCCTCCTTTATTCCTCTCTTCCTATTAATTTCAGTTGTTAAATTTTCCAGATAGCAGCTGTAGGGTAGACTATTCAACTCCAGGGTCACAGAATTATGTACTTGTTACACTGGGATAGTAGCACCATCTGCTATAAAAAAATCTGCTGTAAAATCCCTTTAAACCCTTCACCAAAAGTGTCACTGAAGTGTCACAGAATTCTGTGCATCCCAGATGAAAGCAAACATACGAGTGTAGAATGGTTTAGCCAGTAGGGGAAATAATATTTGAATGCATGAATTGGTAAACCTTGAACAGGAAAAGAAGCTCACTTCCACATAATGAAAGCAAGTTAAAATAATGAAGAAATACACAGAGGTACATCCATGTATAATGAAGCAGTACAGAACTGATCTAATACATTACACAGTGGCAGCTTTAAAACACTGGAAAAATACATAATAGTATGCTTCAGAAATTGCATATACTTACAGTTTGAGATTTCTTCTTCTTCTTTTTTATTGACCTGAAAAAGCCTTGCTTTTCTTTCTCCTTGAGTTGCTCTGAATGACTGTTAACATTTTCAGGACTTTTCCTAAATGTGAAAAAATTAGGGTAAGATGGAATATTTTGGATTTTATATTGTCACATTTAATCCTTGGATTTTATGTTAAAGAATGCATTTTATTTCCCTAAAGCAAAGGTATTCAAAATATTTTTTTCATATTTGTTCATGGATTAACATAAAACTAAACATAATCACTAAAGTGATTATGAAATGAAAAGCGAAAAACCTTTGTTAGCATGGAATGCTTAATCAAAAACAACTGCCAGGCATATAGGGAGAAGGCAATCTTGCACATTTGCCCTGGCTTTTTACTTGGTGTTCTATATTCAAACCAAAATAACATATAGAAGATGCTAAAGAAAAAGAAAAATAATCTGAAAATATATACAAGAAATTATGCATGAATTAGATTGATAATTTCATCCCATATAAAGTATTTGAAAGCTCACTTGACCGTTTTTTGTGGATGTATCTTCTCTCTACATCATGTACTACAGTGCTAGCAAGGAAAGATGGCTCCAGAGACCTGAATGATTGTAAAGACTAAATTTTACATTTACCTAAATTTTTATTTTTGAGAAGGCTGTCCAAAGCTCTGACCTAGAGCTGATCAATAAAAAAAATCACCTTAGTTTAAAGTATATGCATTAAAATTCTGTATGTATAAACAGGGGAGTACTGACTTGGTATAGGGGGCAATTTTACCTTTGTATACAGCTTTGGGGAAACTGATATTTGAATACAGTTCTGGTGTTCCCTGTATTAAAAATGAATTTGGAAAACTGAAGAGGATGCACTAAAATCACAAAAACAATTCAAGTTGTTGAAAAAATGTTTTGTAGGAAGAAACTTAAAGAGCTCAATCTTATTAGCATGTCAAAAAGAATATTTAGCATCTCTAAATATTGTTTGCAGTGTATAAGGATCTTCACAGGAAGAAAATTCTGGGAAATAAAGGGCTTTTAATCTCGTGGAAAAGGCATAACAAGACTGGGGAGAACAGTTCAAACCAAATGCACAGTTTTAACAGTGGGGTGATTAGCCATTGGAAAACCCAAGGATACCAGTGGATTCTCTCCCTCCCTCTCTCTCTCTCTCTGTCTTATCTGAAAATTGGATGCTTTTCTGGAAGATTATTTAGTCAAAATAAGTTATTTGGGTCTATATAGGGTAAATAGCTGACACTTAGTGGCCTGCGACTAGATGAGCTTGTGGTCCTTTCTGGCTTAAATTCTGTGATATTATAAAAACAATTATACTTTTTATTCTTCATATGGATGGAAGGGCTGTTACATCTCCATACATCCAGTATATTAAGAGTTGAACTCCATTCCCCAATACATTAAATTTACAATATGAAAAAAACAGCCTGAGATCCTAATATGAATATATGAAACATCTGAAATGTTTTAACAAATTTCACGTGTTCAAAAAGAGAATTTTTGGAGGTGCTGCTGCAGGTTTCTTACGCATAGGAAAAAAAGAGAGAAGTTTCCATAAGGTAGCTTACTGGAACATGCATCTAAATTGAAAGAAAGATTCCTTCCAGATTTCAGCAATATGATTTTCATTATAAAAATCACAACGCTATAATTAGCTGCTTCAAAAAGTCACTAGTATAGGATTTAATGACTAGATTTTTATGCAAATTTAAAAGACATCAGTTTACTAGAGATTCCCAATTCCATCCAGCTATAGCTGCAATAAGGCAATCTTTTAATTATTCACTGATTTATACAGCATGGAGAAAGCCCAAGAGGAAAAACGGATGACAGCTTTCCAGATGCCTTCCACTCACAGAACTGATTTAACACAGACTAAATACACACTCAATTATTGACAAAAATGACAGGCTTAGATAGTTTTATCTTTCCTAATTTGTTAGGGCTAAATCCAAGGCACACACTAAATCTAAGTAACCAGGCTTTGCATGGAGTGCAACACAAATGGGAATGAGGACCCCCCACCCCCACTCCATTCAGTATGCACCTACTACTGGGGGAAGATTTGGGACTACTGGCTATTTGCTGGTCCACATATTTTGGGATTTAAAAAACAAAAACAAAATAATAACCCTCCCTGACCCAGAGCAAATCACAAACTGCATGGCAATGTCCCTATGCAGTAACCACTTTTCTGACCCACTCCTGTGTGTGAAACAAGAGTCACTATTTTTAAAATAGCCATTACCTTAAAAAAAAAAAGGATTGGACATTTTTTGCACCATTTTTTCTGGAGACACCCAAGTCTTCAGCATTGTGGTTCCTTTCTTGATCCACTGCATCTGAGTCTTACTATTTTGACCTGTAGCACCAGAATGAACTGTTCTGTGAAACTCAGTCCCTTGCTTCTCTCTCTGAGGTCATAGTGACCATAAAGAGGAGGAAACTGAGGCCCAGAAGGAGTACTAGGTACCCACGCTCTCCTTTCCCAACTCGTACTCATCCCAGTGCAGCTGATTAGATTTGGTTACCAACCTCTCCCACTCCTACTGCAACGTTGTTGCCTAACAAGCTTTGCCCTTGAAGAGTGGCTGGCATAAAACCCGCACTCATTATATGGTGAGTGTGAATGTAAACAATGTTACAGCAATAACTTTTGCAGCAAAGATTTTGGACCGATTAAAAATGGAACAGACTATTCTCATTAATGAGCTAAAACACTGGGATGTTTCAAGCATCCCTAAAGAAATTATTAAGACTTAGACAACCTAAGGAAAAAAAAAAGAGGATTATCTTGGTAAATATGCACCAGGCACTCCGTATTTTCCAGTTGCTGCAGTGTTGGTGTTTCTGAAAGCCTCAGCTTGAAGGCATTACCTCTGACACATGCTTGCAGCTCTCATAGTTGCAGGAAAAAAACCCTTTAAAATTGTGATCTTATCAAATCCTTCCTCATAAACCAGAAGGCAAATACCTCCCCCCCACCCCATTTTATTAAAATCTAATGATTTCTGAAAGCGTAGGTTGATAATGTTTCAGCTTTACATGCTTGCAGAAGAGATAGGTATGGAGATAAAGATTTTAAACTGGGTGACTAAATAACCAGACTCTGCTTCTTGCATGCAGGGAAGGCACAGCCAGTGAGTTGCAATGGACATGGTACAGCACGTATGCGAGTGCTAGCTGGGGAACGTACAGCTTGTGCGCAGAAAGTAAACACAACAAAGGTCCTCAATAGTATTTTACAGCACTAACAGCCCTGCTGTATGAATGCTGCCATTGGCAGTGGGTGCTGAGAGATCACATACCATTCCTTCTTGGAGACAATTCCTGCAGGCTTGTTTTCTTAGTTTCCTCATCCATCCTGGCTAGGGACAGACATTCAAAAAGCCTGAGCCCAAGTTGATTCAATCTTTGCAGGTTAGTCTAACCTTGAACCAATTTGGAGGTGGATAGAAGGCACATGCCTATAGTGGCTCAGACTAGAAGTCGGGGGGGTGCTAGAGCAGCCCTCCATCCCTTTTACAGTGCTGAATTGAGGGAGGTGGGGGCATGGCCAGGCCCTGGCAGAATGCTCTGATTAAGGAGGGGTGTAAACCCCTACCCTGCCTGCACTGTCCCAGGGTTTTTCCCACTTGCTGCTCAAGGGGCGGGAGTGTTGTCTGACCCCAGCCCCAGGCTAGCACTCTAAGGCAAAGTGTGTCTGTGCACGTGGGGGCGGGGGGGGGGGGGGCTGCTGTGCATGCATCTGTTGGTCCGTCTGTGCATGCATCTGTGGGTGATACTGAGCTTTTCAATCTCCCTCTCCCTGCCTGCAAAGCTAATAGGGCTGCAAACCAGCAGGGGGGCTGATAAAAACCACAGTGTTATCAGCCTCTCAGCAAAACAAAGCCTCTATTATTAGTTCAAGCTCTTCTTAAACAGGTTTTTCCAAGGAAGGAATGGAGGGACATTACCAGCTGCCCTGGTAATTAGCTCCACAAAGCCCTAAGTGGTCACTGTTCTGTCTGCCTGTCTCAGTGAAACCTGAGAGAGAGACACCTCTCAGCATTAGCTAGTGTACCACATGCCTAGGGCTCATGGAGCTGGAGTCCATGCTGTGCGAGATGGGAGGGAAGAAGGGAGGGGGGAGTCCCTGCTTGAGCAGCGAGGGAAGCCAGGCAGATCTCACTGTGCCTTCAGTCTCCCCTCCAGCTCTGGCTAGGGAGGAGAGGGGCAGGGCCAGACTGTTTTCTGGAGCAGAGAGCACAGCTTAGCCCAGCTCAGCTGCAAAGCATCTGGGGTGCTGGCAGACTCTGGTTTAACTTAAACCAGGAAGGGGTCTGGGACAGACATTGCATAAACTAGTTTGACCCAAAACAGTTAAGTCTGATAAACCTGGTTGAATGTAGTATCTCAAACCAGTTTCAGCCATTTTGAAACTGGTTTATGTGCATGTTCTATTACAGGTTTAAACCAGTTTCTGATCACTTAAACCGGTGTATGTGTAATGTCTGTCCCTAGCCCCTGACTTCAGTAGGCATGCTGGCTCAGAGACTCTGCTTAACCAGTACTACTCCCCACTCCATCCCAACACAGGTCTCACATTTGTAAGAGCTAGCCTTTATGAAAGAGATCTTTAAGATCTTTGTGAAAGAGTCTTTGGGAAATGGTTGCTTCTCATGAATACCAGATTTTGGTACAGCAACATAAAAACAGAAAACTAGGGGTGGAAGGGACCTGAGGAGGCCATCTAGTTTCTCACACACACACACACACACACACACACACACACACAGAAATGTCCCTGTGGAAATCATCCTGGATGTACAGTAAAAGCAGAGTAGAGTTGCACCTTATAGACTAACTAAATTAGAGATGCATAAGCTTTTGTAAGCAAAAGCTCACTTGGTCAGATGCTATGGAAGTAATATGTTGCAGATGTTGAAAAAACAAAACAGAACAAAACAAAACGGTACTTTACTTTGAACTTGGCGTGCTCCGATCCCAAGCCCAGAGCATGCCCAGAACAGGCAGTGTCTTAGTTGGACTTGGCTTGCCTAATGTCTGTATAGATCAGGAGCCTTAGTGGGGCTTTTTTGGGGA